AGCAGTAGCAGCCGCAGCAGCAGTAGCAGTAGCAGTAGCAGTAGCAGTAGCAGTAGCAGTAGCAGTAGCAGTAGCAGTAGCAGTAGCAGTAGCAGTAGCAGTAGCAGTAGCAGTAGCAGCAGTACCTGCAGAAAGTAGGAGCAGTACAAGTAGGAAGAAGTAGGAGACATGCTGGGGAGCAGGAGGAGCAGGACCAGCGGGAGAAGGTGAGTAGCCGTAGCGGCAGCAGTAGCACTAGCAGGAGCACTAGCAGTAGCAGTAGATGGCGGCGACAGCAGCAGCATGATTTCCGTCATGTATCTGAAACATTGTCATGTTTCTTATTGTTGTTGTTGAACACTCTTCGGTGTTCGGCGGCGTGGATGTAAAGGGCAAACGTCTCGTTGGGTCCTTTGTCTCCGGAGGAAGTATGTAATCTTGAGTGTAACATTTCCTCGAGACATGCACGCGACATTTTGCAAGCATTGCAGGCATGGATTACCGGAAAGCCTGTAAGCAGACTCGAATCTTAGCTTCATGCGGGCAGATGTATGGAGGGCTTGCCTGGGCCTAAACCCCAAACACGCACAAGCTCCCAATCCGTCCCAGATTTTCGTGCTCTGGATTATCATGATTTCCTCGCGCTGCTGCGCGCCGTGCTGCTGTCAAGATACAATGCCGAATGCGGGGGGCGGTTCAAAACTTTGACACCAAACCCCTAAACTCCTAAACCCCGGCTTCGGGTTGTACTAAAGCTACAAGCTTACCGTTGAGGAGTAGAGGTCGAAACAAGAACCCTGGTTACCCCCCGTTGAGCCTCAAAGCCAAAAAACTCCCAAAACCCCTATCAACCCTAAGTCATCAGGGTTTAGGGTTGAGGGTTTACCCATAGGCCCCATAGTAGTTCCTTTCTGGAGGTACCTTATAGGATTCCATATATGAACCCCAAGAAGGAGCTACTTTAGGGCCTATGGGTAAACCAGAAGTCCGACCACACACTTTACCATGAAACCCAACCCCAAAGGCCCTAAAAGCACCAAAACCCCAAAACCCCTGAAGCCCGGTTTAGGGTTTAGGGTTTAGGGTTTAGGGTTTAGGGGTTTAGGGTTTAGGGTTTAGGGCGCCTTTGTAGTAACCCTTGTGGAACCCATTGTAGGATACAGGCTCCGGAACAATTTATGTTTCTATTTCCTTAGGGTTCCTTGTTTTCTGTTATACTACCCATAGGCCCCATAGTAGTTCCTTTTTGGGGGTTACCTTATAGGATTCTATATATGAACCCCAAAAAGGAACTACTGTAGGGCCTTCGGGCAGAAGACACCCCACACGCCCTGTTAAGTGTCCAGGCCCCTAGATGAGCCCCTACGTAAACCCCGAACCCAAACCCTAAAATACGAAGAGCTAGAACTTGACAATGACAACACCTAAACTTAGCGCAAAATCTAAGAACACTAAACTAGCACCCTAAACTCTAAACCCTAAACCTTAAAACCCTAAACCCTAAAGCCTAAACCCTAAACCCTCAACATGAGCTTGGGGGACGCCTCGCTGCAGACACCAAAAAGGCCCTCAAAAAAAAAAACCTAAACCCTAAACCCTAAAACCTAAACCCTAAACCCTAAACCCTAAGCCCTAAGAAGCACCAAGGCTCTAGAGACTGTCAAGGCTCCCTCGCCCCCAGGTGCCGGCGCCCTGCCCGGTGGGGCCGCTGAACCAGGCGATCAACCCGAAGATCTTGGACTATCCGCTCCTTTGGGATTTATGGGTTTAGGGTTGAGGGTTTGAGGGTTTGAGGGCTTGGGGTTTAGGGTTTAGGGCATTAGGTTTAGGGTTGATGGGTTTGGGGGTTTAGGGTTTTCAATCGCGTAGACGGGTGCTGTAAGGTTGTGTATGGTTTGTTGTTTTGTCTTCCAGAGGTTGAGGGTTTCCCACTAGATTTTGAAATGTTTTGTGAAAGGGGTTTAGGGTTTAGAGGAATTTGGTTCCACTGTTCAGCTTGTTGGCCGACTGTTTTGCAGCATGGGTCGCCTGACACAGCAGCAGCAGCACAGGCTACAGACGAGCTGATGATGATGATGATGATGATGATGATGATGATGTTGGTGTTGATGATGACAGTGATGATGAGGATGGTGATGACGACAACGATCACGCCGACCACGACGACGTGGATGATGATGATGATGATGATGATGATGCTGGTGATGATGACGACGACGGTGCTGATGATGACGATGCTGCTGATGATGGTGATTATGAAGATGGTGACGACGAGCATGACGACCACGACGAGGATGTTGATGATGGCGATGATGGTGGTGATGATGACGATGGTGTCGACGACAACGACGACTACGACGACTAGGACGAGGAGGCTGACGATGATGATGATGATTATGACGATGGTGGTGATGATGATGCTGCTGCTGCTGATGATGATGATGATGCTGCTGATGATGATGATGATGATGGGGTTTGTGATTCTGTTGGTGATGCTTGTCATGATTCCATGGCTCAGCCATGAACGCATGGAAGCCGCAAGCCCCAACAAAACAAAGATCAGACCACAGTCCTCAGGTTCATGATCGGAATTGGTGGTGAAGTCGTCACCACGGCTCCCGTGGTCCTTCTGCCATTCTTCTTCCGAAGCTTCAGAGACAACGAAGACACCAGGGCCGAAGAGCACTTTTTTCCTCAGCGGGGGTAGTCGACTGATGAAACAGAACTCTATAGCAATTCGGGGATCCCGTTTCTGAACCCTGGGCGTCGAATCATAACACCCGATATTATGCCTTGTAGCATCTGAAGTTTCAGGATGTAGGGTTTAATGGGGGTTTTCAAGCCCTACATGAGCCTTGAACCTCGAACCCTTAGCTCTAAAAGCCTTATCAGGGCGGCAGCAACAATGTGATGGTCCTGCAGCTGACTCGCGTCCTTTGGGTTGGCCTGACGGCCCTTGGCGCCTTCTGCGCCTTCAGGCCACCTTGGGGTTAGTGCGTTTGTTTTTGTTTCGGTTTTTAGTGGTTGCTTAGGAGCCATTTTGCTTTATTTTGTAACATCAACCACAGGGGGCGATGAAACTTTGTAAGCCCTAGCACAAGCGCATAGCGCTGCCACAAGAAAGCCTCAGGACCCTAAACCCGAAACGCCGAAGCCGTGCAACCTTAAACACCTCTGCATGCTACAACCCTGAAGCCCAGGCACTAGGAATCAAAGCCCGGAATCCTGCTAAAACACTGAAGCCCTAGACACTGCGGTTGAGGATATAAATCCTGCATGACCCATAGTCAGATATATACCACAATTCCCACAGTTTAGGGTCCTGAAGGTAATGCAGGGTTTATATCATCCGTAGGAACCCGGAATCCCTGGAAAGGAGGTTCGTGATGATGCGCCAGCAGCCGGTGGGAGCTGGAGAAGTTCGTCCTGGCATGGTCGCACAAGGAGCCTGGTGGTTCAGGGTTCAGGGTTTAGGGTTCAGGGTTTAGGGTTCAGGGTTCAGGGTTTAGGGTTTAGGGTTAGCTTCTTCTCGGTTTTGTGGGTTCAGGGTTTGTTCACGGTTTTGGGGTGATGTGATGTCTCTGCATGTGCATATATCTATGTGTGTATACATGTACTACTACAAGATAAATTGAATAAACATATATATATATATATGTGTATGTATGTATGTATGTATGTATGTATGTATGTATGTATGTATGTATGCATGCACGTATGTATGTATATGTACTAGCAAAAAGGAAAACAATGCACCGACAAGAACATGAACCCTGCACCATGAGTTAACTTTTGGCACTTTGGCACTAGTATCCTGATCCAGTACTGCATGTGCATCCGTTATTGGACTTTTGGGACTCCAGAAGTACTTGGGTTTAGGGTTTAGGGTTTAGGGTCTCACCTATCATTATCTTCAGGATTTGTAAGCTCACGATATTCTACCAGTTATTTCGTTTCATGCTGGTGTCTTGCTGCAGCTTGTCATGGTGGTACTGGTACCTTAACAGGGATTATAATCGGGACCCGAGTATGAAGGAAGTGAACAAATGACCCTCAGCCCTAAACCTTAGACCCTAAACCCTAAGCCTACACCCTAAACCCTAAGCCTAAACCCTGAACCCTAAATCCTAAACCCTAAACCTAGGCCATCTGTGACGGAATCGTTTGCAGTTCCGAGTCTGGGTTTCAGGGCTGGGTGCGTGATCCGTGTTTCCGGAAATACGGTTCAGGGAGGATTGAATTAGAGTTTAGGGGAGTTGATTCAGGGAGGATTCAATTAGGGTTTAGGGGATGTTGAACTTTGGTGTACAAGCTTATGGTTTTGGTTCGCCAGACTCCCAACTACCTTCTACTGTACTCTATGGTTTAGACCACCCTAAACCTTAACACCTAAACCCTATACTAAACCTTTAAAAGAGACCTTCGACCGTGAACTTTAAACCCTGAATGTCTCTATGCCCAGTCGGGTCCCTGGGTTGGCTTCTGTGATCTTGCAGCTTAAAGCCTCGCAACCCGAAGTGCTGGGGTGTAGTCTTAGGGTTTAGGGTTTAGGGTTTAGGGTTTAGGGTGTAGGCTTTAGGGCTGGAGGCGAAAGCCTCGTCAGCTACTACGCCCCGAGTACTCCTGCAGCGACTTACTCCCTGCAGACCCAATGCTCCAAAGCCCTCAACCGCAAAGCTCTCTGAATGCCTCAAAGCTCCCAACTCCTAATCCCTGAACAGGAGTAGTTACGGGCACGACTGTCGGAGTCCCGGTGGGCGTTGCCCTGGAAATGAGCAAAGGTGAGCCTGCCCCGGTGGCTTAATTAGAGCTGCTGCCTTTTGAGGGCTTTGGGGGATTAGGCGTTTAGTGTGCTAGGCTGCTAGGCGGCCTTGGGAAACCACAAGACCGCTGCAGTTCCGCCTTAAGTCGAAGCTGAAAGCATCGAATCCGAGCTGCACTTGCGCTGGCGAGCAAAGGGACGCCTTCATGCGACGCATTTCCCCCAATCTTCACAAAAACTAAAACCCTAAACCCTAAAACCTAAAACCCTAAAACCCTAAACCCTAAAACCCTAAACCCTAAGAAAAGAAGCCTGGATAGCTACCGATGCTGCTCCTCAGGGCCAGCCTCTGGGTTCCTTCTTGTAGCTAGATAGCAAAAAGGGTTTAGGGTTCAGGGTTTAGGGTTTGGGGTTTAGGGTTATACTATCAAGGGGCTTCTTCAGGGTTCTACTATCAAGGGGCTCCAAAATTTAGGGTTTAGGGTTATACTATCAAGGTGCTCCAAATTTTTTAATCTGCCTTTTTCTATCTATGAAGGCACCTAAAAACGGGCCTGAATAGTTACCTGGCCCCTACATTACAGCAACAAGCCTGTCTATGTCCTTCAGTTTTTGTTTGCTGTCTGTGCGGCTTCCGTCTGGTGTTTAGGATAACGGATGAATTATGGTGCTGATTCGGTGCAGTGTCGACGTGGTGGCCCCAAACTTCTAAGCAGCCGAGATCTCATGTCAGCACCTCCCACCTATCACAACACAGAGAAGCCCTCAATCGAACCACTTTGATCCCTGGCTGATGCAGTGTAGCTGTTCGATTTTGTTGTGAAGCTACATGTCAGATGCAATGGTACAGAGCATGACTTTTTGTATGTGCAAGAACATGTAAGACCCGACGCACATCTAACGTCATTATTAGTCCTAAACCCTAAACCGCTTAAACTTAAACACTACAACACCCTGAAGCCTACACCCTAAATCCTGAACCGCTGAAACTTAAGCACTCAAACCTTATAAGCCTACAAATCCACAGATTCGAGGACGTTCCTTGCCCTGGCACGGAACCGAGGCTCATAGTGCTTTCATAAGGCTGCAGAGAGGCTGCTTTAGGGCTTGGGGGGTTTAGGGGTTTAGGGTTGACGGTTCAGGGTGGAACGTCGAGTTGCAAGGTGTTTGAAAGGTGTTAGGGTTCATGTTTGACCTCTCTTAAACCACTGTGAACCATCATAGCATTCCCTTTCAGTCGTTGTTCTTTGTTGTGTAGCATCTGGCTGTTTTTGACTTTTCGTTGCTGGGGTGCAGGGTTAGGTTGTTGCTCTACCTATAGGCTCCATTATAATTCCTTTTTGTAGAAAGTATTTAGGAACCTATATGGGTATTTCTCCACATTAGGGTCCCCTTTTAGGTCCCCAATATAGTACGGCACCCTTAGAAAAAGGACCTCTAAACAAAAAAAACCTAATTTAGAGAACTACCCATATGGTAACAACAAAAAGGAACTACAATGGAGCCTACGGGTAGGGCTCCAGGATTCGGGAATGTGGCGCTCAAAGGGCAGAGCTATGGGCCATGCGCTTTGAGGGAGGGGGCTCGAGTCTTGGACCATCTTTGTTGAGAGCTTAGGGTTTGGAGTCTCCACCGTGGTTCCCTAAACCCTAAACCCTATAAACCCAAAACCTTATGCACGTTCTGTATGCATATGTATCATACACACATATCTGCATGCAGAATCAGGCAGACATACTCGGAGACAGAGAGAGCCGGAGAGCGAGAGAGAGAGAGAAAGCGCGAGAAAGCACAATAATGACCACAGCTGGTTTAGGGTTTACAGGGTTTAGTCTTTAGGGGTTTGTTTGGGAATGAAATTGCATAGTCTTGGTACAAGATTGTTCTACGTCTCAATGGCCTGGAGCGTTTTGGACCTGGTCGGGATGGCCGGAATTCACAAAGCCCCTGCGGACCAGGGTTCAGAACAACAGCTGCAACGATGACAATGATGCCAGCAGCCGCTTCCCCAGCGGCGCAAGTCCATGGTGTGTGGATGTTGGGTGGTAAAGCGGCGGAAAGTTTCGTTTGTTGTTCACGTCGATGCTGCAAGCTTCATAGGTGATTAGAGTTTAGCGTGCGTGCCATCGTGTTGTGTAGTATCGCTGAAACGTAGAAGCCAGAATAGTTGCCAGTATTCGTAAGTGTTCCCCTTGGGCTCCTTGTTATGATTATTGTGCATTACGACTATATGGACCTTTATACACGGCAACTACCTCGACACCCAGTTCATAAGTAAGGCCCCTACCTTATCTAGCAAAGCACACAGCAACCTTGGTTGCCGAAGAGGGTCCGAAATAGAAAAACGGCAAAACTGAGAGGTCGGCCTAGCTTCTTTCGATATGGCCCGATTTCTGCCTCTTTGGGGAATCCAAAACCCTCTTTCTGAGAGCCTTAAGCCCTAAAAAAGCCCTAAACCCCGAACCCTAACCTGAAATCCTAAACTCGAAACCCTAAGTTCTAAACCCTAAATCCTAAACCTTAAACCCTAAGCCTGAGGAGTTGAGTCGTCCTGTTTTTGGCATCCGGGCCTGTTGGGTTTCTGTCTTGAGGATGCACAAAAGGGCCGAGCGACGCTGTGTAGGTAACTATTCAGTTCGACATGCCCAACAGTCCTTAGATTTGAACCGTTTCCTCAGACCGTCCTGGGCCTTGGGGGTAAAGTTGACGGGTTCTCAGGGCTGGAATCCCCGTAATCTCTGTAGACCCTACATAGTAAGACCCTTGCCGTACACTGCCATCCTCTGTCTTCTTAATTCAGGTCGCAAGTTGTATGTGCCGCTTGATGTACCTAGCTAGCAAGCGGGGTGTTGTTAGGATTTTGGAGGGCTTCTTAAAGGTGTTATAGCGCTCGATGGATGCTTTACCGGGTTTCAGAAGTTTTGCTAAAGTTTATCAAAGTTTATAAGTTAAAACACATTGTGTGCTGCACGAGGTTTCTTGCTCCTTTAGTACCCCTATCTTAGAGGTTGTCATAGTTGCAAGCACCCACTTGTCACGGCATTTACTAGAGTCCGTCATTTTCCGAAATAGGGGTTCCGCAAAATAGGGGAACCTAATATAGTACCCCAAATAGTAGGATCCCTATTATAAGGACCCCAAAATAAGGTACCCCCTATTTTCGGAAACCCCCAAATAGTTCAACCATGCAACATTGGTCCCAGCTCTAGGGTTGTG